CAAGCTTCAAATTGGTAATCAAAATATAGCTCATTCGCCCAATAAATAATAAAAAATCTCATATATTTTCCTCAAGAAGGTCATCGACTCTATTTACGAGTTCACATTGGGGTTTCATCAAGTAGAGCAAATAGCCTTATTGAATAAAAGAAGTGAGCTTTATTTTGTCTGAGTGAATTATTTGTATTTTGACAAAAATTAAGACTTTAAAGTTAGTCGCACGCCCAATTCTGCTGAAGGTTTTGATGGAATGCGGTGGCAAACACCAAATTTATGTATACAAACTGTACACAAATAATACAAATATACGTAAGAACGACATGATAGCAAGCTATCAAAAGATAAAAGGAAAGAACCTTGAATCTGGGAGATCACTTTGCAACAAGGGTTGCTTGTGTCTTCAAAGCCTGTAATAAATGCAACAAAAATAAGTCACTACTTGGTAAGAAATAACGAAACGAAATGGGTTGGACACAGGCAATTCTAGGTTACAAAATTTCTTCCCCAAATGATGTTCTAGTACACATGTTAGGTCGTTCAGAAATACTAGCTACTTTCCTCCATATGACACAAAATGAACGGGGAAGGTAAAAAGAGAGAAGCAAAAAGGGAAGGTAACTAGCCATTCTCGTTTGTTATCTATAATTCCAAATTTGAATAAACGAAACACTAAATGTTTAATGCTATAGGAACAATGTAATACTTTGTTATTCAAATATCTGATATGTAGTCATAACAATTTGCATTTAAAAAGTATGAAAAATTACTATTTGCCCTAATAGAACACATGAATAAAAGATTATTTTCATAATTACCAGTGGAAGCCGGATTCTGGATGATATTAGTCATAATATTATATGTATTGACCAAAGCAAAATTGAAGTCAGGCATGCTTCTTTTGAGAACATCTAGCAGTATCTTCAGCCGAACGTTGTACATCTGAGCTGCTTGGCTCAGAGCTTGAGGGCTGCCTATAAAATTTGGTCTGTTAAGCACGGGACTGTAGCCTAGTGGATTTATTGACATTACCACAAATTTTCGACCTCCCAAACTATACAGTTTCTGCAACAATAAAGCAGATCATGATTTAAAATATTGGGTGTCAAAACTTGGCCCAGAAATATAAAAAAAGGCTTAGTCGAACATGATCGAGAGAGGAATCGTAATCGTTGTGACGTTGTCCTAAAGTAATTGTAGATGCCTCCCTACGTGCAACTTATAGCTATCGTCTACAACTCCAATGTACAACTCTTGAAACTCACACGATGTATGATTCCTTAAGCACGATCACGGCATATGATATGCTTAGAAGTGTGTATTAGATTACCCATTAATTGAAGAGAGGAAGAGAGGAGAGATAGGAGGAATATGGATGAAAGATGATTGGACATGAGGGTAAGGGAACTCAATCGAACGTATACTCCATTTTCCTGAGAAATATATACAAAAAACATGACTTTTTTACTTGACCTTTTAGTAAGGGACTATATGACCATTCACTTTAAACTCATGGGTGTGGAAAAGTATATTTGGCCTAAGATTTAGGTTCGAAACTCATAGGAACTAACCCCTTTCCCCTTCCTATCTTTGAAAAAAAAAACCAACATAACATAATTATTTAATAATAAACAACTAGCTTTGAATCTTAATAAAAATAAAAATAAAAACATAAAAATCCAACCATCTGTAGCAAGTTGGAGAATTCTTGTCATATATTATATATCAAAACGCACCAGGAGTTTTTGAGCCAGAGAGGCTATGAGACTTCTAGTGAAGGCTTCAAGGCCAAATTGGAGGTAGGATTTCCTGGCGAAGTAGTTGAACATGTAATCGTTCCCACCAACTCCGACAACAAACAGGTATCTTGGAAGTGATTCAGAGCTTTTGCATCCCAGCTCAGCTTCTAGCTCTGGCAATGTCTCCTCCTCAAAGTCCCGGATTTGCCGACTCAAATTGATAACGTTGCCCTGAAATATTAACTAGCTTAATGCTCATTGATTATCATATAAAAATGAAATTAATTATACTTCAAATTAATTTTGTTTTTACTTTATTACCTTTAAGAGATGCCAAACTTTCATACGGAGAAGAATTAAATAAGAAAAAGGACTTGATATGAAGAGGGATCATTAATATTGTCATACAGGTCATGCATGCTGCTGATGCTTCTAAAGAATTATATGAAACACGTGAGTTATTTGTCTATGGTTGCCGTTCACAAGTTATATATGAAATGAAGATAGATTAGTTGGGATGGAGAGGGTTGTAGCTCATAATATATGTAAAAATGAATAAGGTTAAAGAGTCCATTTATGATACGATCGAAAATTGGACAAATATCTATTCTAGCTCTAGTACGAAAATTGGATATATTCAGTCCAGATGACATGTTTACTAACTTGAAATTAGAGTGAAACATGAATCGGTTAATACCGCTAAAATTTTCCAACGTTTAAATAAAAATAGAAAACACATAATTAAGCATAAAAAAGAAGGTAATATGATGAGATTAATTAACGAAGATCAGTATAGTTCGACGTACCGCAACTAAGCCGGTATCATCTAATATACCGGAAGAGCCAGAGGCATGGTTGACTCCATGAACAATTTTACTTCCCTTAGTTGAAGGGTCTTTAGAAGGTGGGATGAAGGAAGGAAGCTTGAGTTGGTCACCAAGAAGGTCAACTACATTTTTGCCATTTGTGAATCTCCCAGAAGCTCCGTTTGGGAAATCAATACCATATGGCAAATAATCGGCTTTAGCCCTGCTTTCAAAGAAGTTATTGTTGCCATTGTCGACCAGAGAGCTTCCAAACACAAACATGCCTTTGGTCGCAGCTCCATCTTCTGCGAAGTTACAAATGGAAATGGATATAGGCAGACAAACAAACAAAGAGAGATACAAAAACACAACTTGTTTGGAAGGTTGTTTTAGAGAGTGGTATTGCATGGTGGGTGGTTTCTGTTGGAGGGAAAGAAACAGGGATGAAATGTGGTTTTAATTCTCCAGAACCAAACTCTTCCTTTTCAAAGTATGAACTGGTATTTATATGAGTAGTTGGCTTTCACCTTTAAAACACCTTTTTTTTTTCTCCCATTTGCAGCCCTTTCATTATTGTTTCTCAAGTTTTTTTAATATCAAAGTTGTTTTAATAGAAAGGACACTCTTTGGCTCCTTACAAACAAATCACAGTTCGAGACATATACAAAGTTAATTTATTATACTTACAAAAAGAAAAATTTGTGTACACATATCATACAACTTGTCTAGGAATGACGCCTTACTTACAAGGAGCTAAGTATTTTTCTTTTGAACCGGCCATATATTTTGAGATTTGCT